AGCAATTCAAGCTTTGGTTCAAGCAATTCAAGCAATCGTTTCCTGCCCGAAACGCTTTGCGTAATAGTGGCTTTAGGCATTGTATGTACTAGCTCTATCTATAAAGCCAACAAACTTTGTAAATCTCTTTATGTATGTACCTTACCTAAATAAAGATTATTATTATTATTATTATTATTATTATTAATTGCTGGATTAAAGCACTTCCAGCAATAGTCCTAAAGTTTTTCATCAACAATTTAAGGATTCTTCCTGTATTTGTGAGAGCTCCATATTTTTTCCTCTTTCATTCTTGATTCCATTGTTGATATAACAATATACATTAAACTGTACAACTAGCTAATTAGAACTAACTTGCTTAGCTAAATGAATTGTGGAGCTGCGCCTCTGTAACCTTTGCGTAATAGTGGCATTCAGGGTGAAAGAAACTTTGCCCATTTGTTTCTGCCTCGTGCGGGAATCGAACCCGCGCCACAGAATTACGAGTCCTGCGCGCTATCCACCAGGCTACGAGGCCCCTAAGTGGATTCCTGCATGTATTCATAGGGGGATGATAATGCGTAGTTCTGGGACCTTCCTTGTGGTTACTTTGCTATGATTTCGGGGCTCAACGTCCGCGCGGCCCGTACCTGACCAGGCCTACTTGCAGCAATGGTACAAATCCTACAGTACTGTATAAAATATTGTGCAACTGTATCTATATTAAAAAGTAGTAATTGAATGACCTCTATCGTATAAAAGTCAGTTTTATAACATCTGTTCTACTATCAAGTAAAAAATAAATATGTCTACTTACATAGCAAGGAACTAGTTTCCTTTCAACTTATCATTACTCTGTAACAGTACACCTCTCTGTAAACTCTGTAAGCTCTGTAAACTCTCTGTAAACTCTGTAACTCTCTGTAAACTCTGTAACAGTACACCTCTCTGTAAACTCTGTAAGCTCTGTAAACTCTGTAAACTCTGTAACTCTCTGTAAACTCTGTAACAGTACACCTCTCTGTAAACTCTGTAACTCTCTGTAAACTCTGTAAACTCTGTAACTCTCTGTAAACTCTGTAACAGTACACCTCTCTGTAAACTCTGTAACTCTCTGTAAACTCTGTAAACTCTGTAAACTCTCTGTAAACTCTGTAACAGTACACCTCACAGTTACGCAGCAGAACATTACCCAAACATATTGCTACAAATCATAAACTTCAATGTATAACTTCTCTGTGCAACTTAATCTAATAAAATCAGGTTACATAGAGTTTAGATAATTTCACTGTCCAAACCTAATTCACGGACAAACAGAAAATAATTGCAAATAATAACGTTTATTCAGGTAAAAATACATACATTGAAAATGAGTTTCAAGCAGAATGTTGGCTTTCAAGACAGAGCCTAGTATACTATGCCTAAAGCCACTAATACGCACAGCGTTTCGAGCAAGATGAAGGGTTAAAAAATTTAAAAACTAAAACTTAAGACTAATTGAGATCAAAGGCTTGAATTGAACTGAAACAGACGAAAAAAGAATGACAATAATTACAAGTTGGATGACACAGCAGATGTAACCTAACTATTCCACAAACATTAGACTACAAGGTACGACATATATATATATATATATATATATATATATATATATATATATATATATATATATATTATATATATATATATATATATATATATATATATATATAATATATATATATATATATATTCACAATAAATTTACATGAGCTGTACAATATTCAGTGCAAGCACAAACTACAGCATCAACTTATACAGTATATAATATATATATAACACCATCAAGTTTAAATCAGTTACAAGTATATCAGTAATTACAAGTAATCATATTCATTATATAATCATTGTCAATCAGGAAGTTTTAGAGTGGTTCGTCAAACTCAGGGTTTTCTCAGGAAAACCCCTAGACAAGGCATCAGCCAGAATATTTATCTTGTCAGGAATATGATGTATGTGGCGATTTAATTCCTGCAAATACAACGACCACCTCAAGATTTTCTGATTATGAAATTTCATTCTGTCAATGAATATTAACGGATTATAATCAGTATACATATCAACCTTATTTCCATGGAGATATACCTCAAACTTCTTGCATACCAACACAAGAGCATAAGCCTCCTTCTCAACAACAGAGTAATTCCTGCCATTGGAATTAAAATTTCACATAAACGATGAACTGGAGTGACGAGGATGTCTTGTCCGCAGAACTGTTCTAATGTGAAACTCTGGCACAAAGATTCTTGCAGATGGAAGGAGATGACCTGCCTGATGTGATTTTCCACACCTCCACTAAGATGTCAAGCAGGGGCATAATCTCACGTGTGTGAGTAAGGATTGGTATAGACACGATCTGGGGCAATTTATCATAGTGCCGGCAATGAATTATAATAAAAATGAATTAAAATAAAAATGAATTTTGGAGAATTAATTTTTGATTTACCTCCAACAGTGAAGCGTAATGTACGAAAGATTGAGAAAATTCGTGTTTACATTTCCTAAAATTATATCAACACCAGGTAAGGGTAGGGTATAAGGGGAACACGTTGCACTACCCCAACTATACCCTGTATACGCATTACTTCGCCCAGGTCAATCTTCTTGACCTTGGACAACATACTGGAAGTAATCAACGTTAACGACGCACCAGTGCCCCTAAACATAACAATATTAACCCACTTATCCACAACTCCAACTATTTTAGCATGAATCATAAAAGGGTCAAAACCAGCAAGCCCCTGTGGCTTACCTCTACACAATGTCTCGGAATTATGACCATGTGGGGCCTCGTAGCCTGGTGGATATCGCGCAGGACTCGTAATTCTGTGGCGCGGGTTCGATTCCCGCACGAGGCAGAAACAAATGGGCAAAGTTTCTTTCACCCTGAATGCCCCTGTTACCTAGCAGTAAATAGGTACCTGGATGTTACTCAGCTGTCACGGGCTGCTTCCTGGAGGTGGAGGCCTGGTCGAGGACCGGGCCGCGGGGACACTAAAGCCCCGAAATCATCTCAAGATAACCCCAAGATATGCCTTCTTTTACTCACCACCAAGGCGTTTGATTATTTTTACATCAGCCAAACTTGTCGGACCTGATGTGGCTCTACCAGGGTTAACCCTTAGATTTGATGCCTGGTCTGCCCTGGCTGTAAGCTACTAAACATATCCCTGGAAACACAAACCGAAATTGTCTCCATTTTCCGCTTTTACAACTTGTAATAAAGTTGTTACATCTTGGCTTAACATGTTTATGACGTATTAGAACGTTGTTACAACTTGCTATATTGGTTGTTATAACTGGTTAGGAAGTGTTAAAACTTGTTTGAACGTTGTACCAACGTCGTAGTTTCGGTGTGTGTTTGGCGGGATGGCCCTGCATGACTAACCATCCTGCGAGATGGGGACTTTTATTACTACTGCTACCTTATTCACTCTTGTGTTGATGATATCCTCAAAAAGCATCCGGAGTCTGTCAGTGCAGACTGCCTATCACAAGCCTATGAATGATTAACCATCCTGTGTGATGGGGATTTTTTTTAGCATAACCTGGTTAGCTTTTTTGACACACTGTACTCCACTTCATACTCTAGGGTAACTGCATAAATGCAGATGTACCTCATGTATTAATAAAAAAAACTTAGCAGACTTAGCATTATAATGACTACTCCTTGACTTCTCAGAATTATACTTCCCAGAAATTAATGCTTTAGGTGATATGATAGTTATTATACGTTATCTTATTTATCGTCTCATGAGCATCTGCCAACATAGCTAAATCCTGAACATCCTTGTAAGAACGTTTACCTGTGGCTATCCCACCAAACACACACCGAAACTACGACGTTGGTACAACGTTCGAACAAGTTTTAACACCACCTAACCAGTTATAACAACCAATATAGCAAGTTGTAACAACGTTCTAATACGTCATAAACACGTTAAGCCAAGATGTAACAACTTTATTACAAGTTGTAACAAGCGGAAAATAAAGACAGTTACGGTTTGTGTTTCCAGGCTAGTGACATGGTCAACTTTACAAGCAAACAAGACAAGAGTTCTTCTACTAGGATAAACTGCTTAAGGGATAAAAAATCATGAGTATTATTTCGGTTAAGCCACCTGTCATGAATTGACTCTTTTACTCGAGCAAACTCTGTAACTGTCTGATCAGGTGTACGCTTGAGACCTCTAAACTCTTGTTTGAGTGCCTTTGCATTGAGTTCATATGCGTGCAAAATCCTCTTTTTAACTGTGGGGTAATGAAAGTTGTCTTCAAAAGGGAGCGATACGAAAATCTCTTGTGCCTTCCCACGCAACTGACCTTGCATAATGGTCACAAAGAATCCTCTGGCCATTTCAAACTAGCAGCTAACTTTGAAAAACGTAAGAAAAATAATTCGGGGTCCTTCTCATCATATTGAGGTAATTTAAACTCTTTAGGAAAACAAACTCCACTACTGTGACTACTACCTGAACTTCCATTAGAGCCTTTACTACTGGCAGCGGCGGCAGCTTCTAGAGTTTTCTCCTCAAGCCTCATCTGCGCCTCAGCCATCTGCTGCTTAATTAACAATTGCTTGGTTTGTTCTTCTCTAAGACTAGCTACTTTTAACGCAGCTTCTCTTCTGAGTGTAGCTGCTTCTAACTCTGCTTCTCCTCAGAGTGTAGCTGCTTCTAACTCTGCTTCTCCTCTGAGTGTAGCTGCTTCTAACTCTGCTTCTCCTCTGAGTGTAGCTGCTTCTAACTCTGCTTCTCCTCTGAGTGTAGCTACTTTTAACGCAGCTTCTCCTCTGAGTGTAGCTGCTTCTAACTCTGCTTCTCCTCTGAGTGTAGCTGCTTCTAACTCTGCTTCTCCTCTGAGTGTAGCTGCTTCTAACTCTGCTTCTCCTCTGAGTGTAGCTGCTTCTAACGCAGCTTCTCCTCTGAGTGTAGCTGCTTCTAACTCTGCTTCTCCTCTGAGTGTAGCTGCTTCTAACTCTGCTTCTCCTCTGAGTGTAGCTGCTTCTAACGCAGCTTCTCCTCTGAGTGTAGCTGCTTCTAACTCTGCTTCTCCTCTGAGTGTAGCTGCTTCTAACTCTGCTTCTCCTCTGAGTGTAGCTGCTTCTCCTCTGAGTGTAGCTGCTTCTAACGCAGCTTCTCCTCTGAGTGTAGCTGCTTCTAACGCAGCTTCTCCTCTGAGTGTAGCTGCTTCTAACTCTGCTTCTCCTCTGAGTGTAGCTGCTTCTAACTCTGCTTCTCCTCTGAGTGTAGCTGCTTCTAACTCTGCTTCTCCTCTGAGTGTAGCTGCTTCTAACTCTGCTTCTCCTCTGAGTGTAGCTGCTTCTAACTCTGCTTCTCCTCTGAGTGTAGCTGCTTCTAACTCTGCTTCTCCTCTGAGTGTAGCTGCTTCTAACTCTGCTTCTCCTCTGAGTGTAGCTGCTTCTAACTCTGCTTCTCCTCTGAGTGTAGCTGCTTCTAACTCTGCTTCTCCTCTGAGTGTTGCTGCTTCTAACTCTGCTTCTCCTCTGAGTGTTGCTGCTTCTAACTCTGCTTCTCCTCTGAGTGTAGCTGCTTCTAACTCTGCTTCTCCTCTGAGTATAGCTGCTTCTAACTCTGCTTCTCCTCTGAGTGTAGCTGCTTCTAACTCTGCTTCTCCTCTGAGTGTAGCTGCTTCTAACTCTGCTTCTCCTCTGAGTGTAGCTGCTTCTAACTCTGCTTCTCCTCTGAGTGTAGCTGCTTCTAACGCAGCTTCTCCTCTGAGTGTAGCTGCTTCTAACTCTGCTTCTCCTCTGAGTGTAGCTGCTTCTAACTCTGCTTCTCCTCTGAGTGTAGCTGCTTCTAACTCTGCTTCTCCTCTGAGTGTAGCTGCTTCTAACGCAGCTTCTCCTCTGAGTGTAGCTGCTTCTAACTCTGCTTCTCCTCTGAGTGTTGCTGCTTCTAACTCGGCTTCTCCTCTGAGTGTTGCTGCTTCTAACTCTGCTTCTCTCTGCTTAATGTTTTCTTCACAGTTAAACCTCTCTAACTCAACTTGCCTTAGCTGAAGTTCTAACTCCTGCCTTCTCAGTGTGGCAGTACTCTCAGCCTCGTCAGGGTATTCCTCAAATACCTCATCACTCAACATGCCATTTTCTACTACATGCAGAAAAATGATTCGCAATAATTTAGCATTAGTCATTCTAGGTGCTACATCTAACTCTAGGGTTTTCCCATACAAATCAATACTATTTGACAGTTGCGAGGCGGGACCAAAGAGCCAGAGCTCAATCCCCGCAAGCACAAATAGGTGAGTACTGATTTCGTTACTGTCTTAATCCAATCCACTGATTTCTGCAAAATCTCTTTTTATACTTGCTCCATCTTAATTAATTAATAAGACAATTTCTACAAAAATTATTATTACCAAAATAAGAATATACTAGACTAACACGCCTCACAGACACGCAAGACATTGAACACTTACCTCTGACGTTGCAAGTGTAGTATTAACAGCCAGGAAGAGAGAGAGAGAGAGAGAGAGAGAGAGAGAGAGAGAGAGAGAGAGAGAGAGAGAGAGAGAGAGAGAGAGAGAGAGAGAGAGAGAGAGAGAGAGGATTCGGGCAGGAAACGATTGCTTGAATTGCTTGAACCAAAGCTTGAATTGCTTGAACCTTGATCTTGATCTTGATTATCTTGAGATGATTTTAGGGGCTTTTTTTAAGTGTCCCCGCGGCCCGGTCCTCGACCAGGCCTCCACCTTCAGGAAGCAGCCCGTGACAGCTGACTAACTCCCAGGTACCTATTTACTGCTAGGTAACAGGGGCATTTAGGGTGAAAGAAACTTTGCCCATTTGTTTCTGCCTCGAGCGGGAATCGAACCCGCGCCACAGAATTACGAGTCCTGCGCGCTATCCACCAGGCTACGAGGCCCCTAAGTGGATTCCTGCATGTATTCATAGGGGGATGATAATGCGTAGGTCTGGGACCTTCCTTGTGGTTACTTTCCTATGATTTCGGGGCTGAACGTCGCGCGGCCCGTACCTGACCAGGCCTACTTGCAGCAATGTCACAAATCCTACAGTACTGTATAAAATATTGTGCAACTGTATCTATATTAAAAAGTAGTAATTGAATGACCTCTATCGTATAAAAGTCAGTTTTATACCATCTGTTCTACTATCAAGTAAAAAATAAATGTCTACTTACATAGCAAGGAACTAGTTTCCTTTCAACTTATCATTACTCTGTAACAGTACACCTCTCTGTAAACTCTGTAACTCTCTGTAAACTCTGTAACAGTACACCTCTCTGTAAACTCTGTAACTCTCTGTAAACTCTGTAACAGTACACCTCTCTGTAAACTCTGTAACTCTCTGTAAACTCTGTAAACTCTCTGTAAACTCTGTAACAGTACACCTCACAGTTACAGAAAGATAGACACTTGCGCAGCAGAACATTACCCAAACATATTGCTACAAATCATAAACTTCAATGTATAACTTCTCTGTACAACTTAATCTAATAAAATCAGGTTACATAGAGTTTAGATAATTTCACTGTCCAAACCTAATTCACGGACAAACAGAAAATAATTGCAAATAATAACGTTTATTCAGGTAAAAATACATACATTGAAAATGAGTTTCAAGCAGAATGTTGGCTTTCAAGACAGAGCCTAGTATACTATGCCTAAAGCCACTAATACGCACAGCGTTTCGAGCAAGATGAAGGGTTTAAAAAACTTAAAAACTAAAACTTAAGACTAATTGAGATCAAAGGCTTGAATTCAACTGAAACAGACGAAAAAAGAATGACAATAATTACAAGTTGGATGACACAGCAGATGTAACCTAACATTAGACTACAAATCTAATCTGGAGACCGTTCAGGCTTGTTTGCATTTGTGTTCCTCACGTGTGCCCCAAAGAATGAGGTGAATTGATAAAATACCATGCCTAAGATTACCATCAGAGTGGTGGCGGGGGGATGGTGAATTAGCCTCGGCTACCATCCTTCTTTGGTCCGGTCGTGTTGGTCGAGTGATTAAGGTGTCCTGTACGCCAGATGCAGAGTGCTCCTGGCAATATGGGTTCGAGTCACTTCTGGGGTGTGAGTTTTCAGTTGCATATATGCCCGGAGACCATTCAGGCTTATTCCTTTCAAATATATATATATATATATATATATATATATATATATATATATATATATATATATATATATATATATATATATATATATATATATATATATATATATATAGAATATATATATATTCCTTTCAAATATATATATATTCCTTTCAAATATATATATATATATATATATATATATATATATATATATATATATATATATATATATATATATATATATATATATATATATATATGTATGCATATGCGTGGCTCAGCAACGCATGTGCATTGCTGAGCTACAGCAATCTTTCCCTGTCTCCCAGTCTTTCCCACCATTCCCCCCCCCGTCCCCTCGTCCTCCCCACTATCTCCCACTCCACTATCCCCCTCGTCCTCCCCACCATCCCCCCTCGTCCTCCCCCACCATCCTCCACTCCCCTGTAATAAACCCGGAACTGCTCTTCCCTTTCTCCACTCAACAACCCAGCTAAACACTGCTTGCAGGTCGCTCTGACCCTCAATGAACTACCCGTTGATATTAAGACTGAAATAATAAATGAGGGGGAGCAACAAATGAAGGATTTATTAGTTCAAAAAATAAGGAATATAAACTCACTAAACACTGCCACCACCTTCCCACTAACTTACCTGTACGTGTCTAGATTACTCATCTCCCAGGAGGACAGAACTCAATAATCATGAACTCAAGGGGCAATAGAATCTTGGTAAATATAATTGATTAGGGAGTAAAACATATAACCTTTACTTTACTTATTGAGAATTGAGGGATTTCAAATTCAGCCCATGAATACCACATATAAAAGGAATAACACAACATTAATAACCAAAAGGGGAACTAAATACCACTAGATCAAAATATTCACTTTATGGAAACAAACACGTAAATTTAAATCAAACTGAAATGTAGCCCAGGGAGGTCTATTGTTTCTCTCATGAGCCTGGCTCAGGCTAGGAGCCAATCAATTTGAACCATGCCTGGGTGCTCTGGAGGCTCGGCCAACGGTGCCTGGTCGTACCCTGGGGGACTCCGGCTCTTGAGACTTCAGGCCAATCACTTGAGCCCCCCAGGCCTAATACCCTGGCACCACTAACCAATGAAACACCTGGCACCCTGCCCTTGGCCAATGAAAGGCCAGACACTTGCCGGGTCGGTCCTCTTCCAAAAACTGGAACTACGTAGTAACAACTTATCTCGTGGGAAGAAGCTGGCCTGACCCCCTAAGGAAAACTTGAGAGCAAGAATGTTATGGCCCTAGAGTTGCACTGGTCCTAAATCTGTCAATAGTTATGGAGAGGACAGAGAAGGAGAGGGATTGGAAAGGGGATTGGAAAGAAGACTGGTGACGAAGATTAGGGGGAGGGATTAGAGAAATAGGATTGGGGAACAGGAGAGGACAAGTGACAAGAGTGAAAGGGGGAAGGGGGGAAGGGAGAAGGTAGAAGGGAGAAGGTTGGTCTGCACAGATCATTACACCCCTGTCCCTTTGTTCTCCCCACCTCCCATTCCCACGTCCTCCTAATCATTACCCCATCCCCCTGTCACCTCGTTCTCCCCACCATTCCCCACTCCCTCGTTCGATGCATTCCCAAGTTATCTGATGTTCCCATCAGAAAATTGGGAACATCAAATGATCAGATGTTCCCATCACTGAAATATAAGAAAAACAGTTAAAAAATTAAATGAAAAAAAATATATATACTATACTCACAAAATGAACGGTATAGTAAACAACACAGCTCAATTCCAATGCGAATATGTCGTCCAACATTCGACCTCGGAGTCTTGAGGTGGGTAGAATATAGTTGTGCATTAATTGGCTGTTGATTGCTGGTGTTGACTTCTTGATGTGTAGTGCCTCGCAAACGTCAAGCCGCCTGCTATCGCTGTATCTATCGATGATTTCTGTGTTGTTTACTAGGATTTCTCTCTCTCTCTCCTGGTGTGTGGAGAGAGAGAGAGACAGAGAGAGAGAGGAGAGAGAGAGAGAGAGAGAGAGAGAGAGAGAGAGAGAGAGAGAGAGAGAGAGAGAGAGAGAGAGAGAGAGAGAGAGAGAGAGAGAGAGAGAGAGAGAGAGAGAGAGAGAGAGAGAGAGAAATATAACAGATGGGGTATTAACAACCAGGAAGAGTCGTGGCCAGGTTGTGGGGACGACCGCCGGAGTCCTGACGGTCTTCAGGTCAAGCCCAACAAAAATTCGAACATTCCTTCCTTTTTTCTTTACTTTTTATTACCTAAATATAGTGTTGCTAAATAGGTTGTGGTTTCTATGCTTGATTTGTGTGAAAATATTTACGAAGGACTTGATAAAATAGTCATGATTATATTTGCACACTATTGTCACCAGTTATCACCTGGGTGACAATGAGTGACACCTCCACCATCATATTCTGTCCACCACGGTCACCAGTTAGCGGGGACTTCTCAGGGGCGTTAACTGGTGACCATGGTGTACAGTCTGTGATGGTGGAGACTTCTCAGGGTGTTAACTGGTGACCATGGTGTACAGTCTGTGATGGTGAGGACTTCTCAGGGTGTTAACTGGTGACCATGGTGTACAGTCTGTGATGGTGAGGACTTCTCAGGGTGTTAACTGGTGACCATGGTGTACAGTCTGTGATGGTGAGGACTTCTCAGGGTGTTAACTGGTGACCATGGTGTACAGTCTGTGATGGTGGAGACTTCTCAGGGTGTTAACTGGTGACCATGGTGTATAGTCTGTGATGGTGGAGACTTCTCAGGGTGTTAACTGGTGACCATGGTGTACAGTCTGTGATGGTGGAGACTTCTCAGGGTGTTAACTGGTGACCATGGTGTACAGACTGTGAAGGTGGAGAGTTCCCATGCCGCTAACTGGTATATTTCGTGTATACCAGCTAGTTACAGACTGTGATGCAGTTCAATCCCCAGGTTGACAGCTTGTGACTGGGGTGCCGGACAACTGCCAGTTGATAACTGCTAACAAAGGTGTACAGAAACTGTACACCTCTGTACAATGATTTCTGTACACCAGAAATCATTGACTGTTTGCTCATGTCCGTC